CCTTGCAGGTGCCAGCAAATGAGCAAGAGTCAGCGGACATCCTGCATTCTCATAGTACCTCCATCCCTGTCACATCCCATCCCCAGATAGCCGGCAAGAGGTTGCAACCCCCCGCCTGGGCGCAGGGAAAGGTTGGTTGCCACTATCCACACTCAGTTCCCCATCCCAGCCCAGGGCCTACCCCCAGTCAGGTGATCAGGGCCTTCCAGCTGCTGGTTGCCATCTGCAGAGTGAGCCATCAGGGCTATCGGACCCCCAATCCTATCTGTCTTGGCCTGGCATCACCCACTCACCTGCACTACCATCCCGCCACAGTCTGCTCTCATCAGGGCCTATCAGGGCCAGCAGTACCTCCACTGCTGCCTATGCTCCATCACCAACACCCACCATGTCCCATGCTGCCCCCTAGTGGTCAGTGCATGTCATAGAAAGCAGTCAAACTCCAGGTTGAACCATTTGCATATTAGGTTTTTATTATATAGTTTGGCATTCTAATCCAGTTTGGGGATGGAAAGTAGGCCCCTAGAAAGTGATAATAGTTGTATGTTGTCTCATTTATAGATTAGAACCTTGGTTTAAAAATGATGTTAAGAGGCCAAGATCATGAATGTGATTCTTTTCCCAGGGCAATCCTGTTCTGCGAGGTCTAATGCTTACACCAATTGGAGAGTTCTCTTTAAGGACAGGCCCTGGCCATTAGCTCAGTTGATTAGACCATCAACCTGATATGCCAAGTTGACAGGGTTTCCCTGGTCAGACACATACAAGTATTAAGCAATAAATGCATACATAAGTGGAACAACAAATTTGATATTTCTCTCTCTCCTTCCTCTCTCACTCTAAAATCAATTTAGAAAATAGAACACAATGTTACAACTAGGTAAGAAAGTAAATATTTTAAGAATCGTTTCAACGAAATGTAAACCTCACAAAACACAAATTAATAGGAAGTGTTTATTAATGAACTAGGAACCCAGTTCACGAATTTGTGCACCTTGAAAGGAACTTTGGTCCATGAGGCTGCAGTGGGCACAGGGACGTGTCTTGGCACATCCTCCTCAACCCCTTCTGGCCTCTCCCACCCTTTCCCCGGTCTCCTGTCTGCCAGCAGCCCTGCTCCCGCTGCCACTGCTTGCACCTGCTGAAAGCACAGAGCAATTGGGGCCTGCATCAGCAGCAGATGCAAGCAAGGCTGGCACTGTCAACAATGCTGCCCCAATCTCCCCTCACGGGCATGGGGAGGTAGAAAAGCCCCCAAGAGTGATCAGGGCCAGCAGCCACCACTCGCACCCACTAACAGAGCCAAGTGATTGGGACTGGTGCTAGACACTGCAGCAAGTGGGAACGGCTCTAGCTCTGGCTGCAGGTGTAAGCGGGGCTGTCGCTGGCAGCAGGTGAGAGAGGTGGCTGTCAGCCCCGATAGCTCCTCAGGAGCAGGGGGAGGTGGAGAATCCCTGAGGGGCCATGGAGGTTGGCAGCTGCTGCTCACACTCGCTGACAGTGTTGAGTGACTGAGTCCAGCACCAGGTGCTGGCACCGGTTGTGAGCAGCAGCTCCAGTGTGGGTAACGGGTGCAAGTGGGGCTGGCGCTGGTAGCAGGTGCCAGCTCTGGGCAGGACTGTGGCCAGAGCAAAAAATTTTCATTAACTTCCAGAGGCTCACCCTGATGACAGTGACTGGTTGTTCGGTTGTTCCACTGTTCGGTCAATTTTCATATTAGTGTGTGTGTGTATATATATATATATATATATATATATATATATATATATATATCTGTATATATCTGTATATATCTGTATATATATGTATATACATGTATATCTATATATACATATATAGATATATAGATATATGTGTGTGTATATATATATATATATATATATAGAGAGAGAGAGAGAGAGAGATTACCTGACACTTCTATATTTTTTCTACTTTTAGCTGCATACTCTTTGCTCTTTGAACAACAATTTTGTTGTTTGATTTTCTGCAGGAGCTTTTGGTGTGGCAAAAATTTAAAGACAATGAGAATAAGGATGCCATCTATGAATGGAAATGTGGATAAGCTTTGCCATCTGAAGGGGTCAACCAAGAGAATATCAGTTAACACGGGATGGCCCAGTTGGAGTTATTCTGGAAATGGTTTTGTTGTCTTCAATAAAAGGAGGCCTTGTAGCTCAGTGTTTACTAGTAGCTGTATGGGCCGCTTACGGCAGTGTGACTTTGGCAAGTAACATTCTCTCTGCACTGCAGTTTACTAATATCTAACTCATAAAGTGGTTGGTAGGATTAAAGAAGAAAGCTAATGTCACATACTGAATGTGGTGCATGCTTTGTTATTGTTTTGCTTTGCTTCTGAATTGTTTTGCCTGAAATATTAATAGTACAGAAAAGAAAAAAACTCCCGAGTAATGCTGACCCACAGTCAAGATTGGACACTACCAGACCACACTTGTACCAATAGTTAGTCACTTGGATGGCAGATGCCTTAGAGGTGAGGTGAGAGAGAAAAAGTGAAACAATTCGTTATTGGTGAAGAAGAAATTCCTTTATTTTAAAGCAGCTTCACTGCCACAAAAATGATGGATTTAAAGACTTGTTTAGTCATGCTTTGGAATCTCAAAAAAAGGTTTAAAAAGATGCTTTGGATCAACAATGTTAAAGTCAAGTCAACATATCTGGAAATCGCTAAATTTCTAGTGCTCTGATAGAGTTTTCACTGTAAGTTGTTCTTTTGAGGAGCTTTGAGTGTGAGGCAGTGCCCAGGGATTCGTGTTTTGTTCTCTCTCTAGGGCAGGCTTGGGTGGTAAACACATCATGTTTGGGTCTGAGTTTTATCACTCACTCTCCATGTGACTTTAAGAAAATCATTAACCTCTCCAGGTAGTTTACTTGTCTATGAAATGGAAACATTAATTGGGTCTACCACATACTTTTGCTATGAGGCTTGAATGAGAGTAAATGGCATGCCTTTGCACAGTTGACACATTCTGGCACGTGATACGAGTTAGCAATCATTATCGTTATCACTTTTATTCTTTTTTGGTTGGGAGTATGAAGTTTTTATATTGGCTTTTGTTTTTTATGATAGTTTTATTTCCATAAAGAGCTAATGTTGGGTCAAGATATTATCTTGTTGAGCCCTAACAGGTTTGACTCAGTGGATAGAGCATCAGCCTGTGGACTGAAGAGTCCCAGGTTCAATTCCTGTCAAGGGCATGTACCTTGATTGTAGGCACATCCCCAGTAGAGGATGTTTAAGAGGCAGCTGATCGATGTTTCTCTCTCATTGATGTTCCTAACTCTATCCCTCTCCCTTCCTCTCTGTAAAAAATCAATAAAATATATTTTTTTAAAGATAATATCTTGTTGAGCTTTCCCATTTATTGCTTAACACTCTGAGAGAGGTTTTGATGTACAGATTATTTAACAAAAAGTGGTGCACAGGCAGATGTGTATGTGTGAGCACAGATGTGATTTCTTATATTCAATATATCTTTAAAATGTACCTATCTGTAAGTGGCCAGAAGAATAACGAAAAAAAAAAGCCTAGAAATTAAAAAATTAACTTTTGGAGCATTTCTCAGAAATAGTCTACTTTGAAAGTGTCCATGTACCCGCCCCGACGACGACGACGACGTCACCGCGGACGCCAGGCGGGCGCCGCCATGTCGGGCGGGGGTCCTCGTCGCGGGCGCGCAGGTGTCTTCATAAGATGCCGGCCCGGCGGCGGCGGCGCCCGGCGTTCCCCCCCCCCCAAGATGGCGTCCATGCGGGAGAGCGACACGGGCCTGTGGCTGCACAACAAGCTGGGCGCCACGGACGAGCTGTGGGCGCCGCCCAGCATCGCGTCGCTGCTCACGGCCGCGGTCATCGACAACATCCGCCTCGGCTTCCACGGCCTCTCGTCGGCCGTGAAGCTCAAGCTGCTGCTCGGGACGCTGCACCTCCCGCGCCGCGCGGTGGACGAGATGAAGGGTGCCCTGACGGAAATCATCCAGCTGGCCACCCTAGACTCGGACCCCCTGGGTGCTCGTGGTGGCCGACATCCTCAAGTCCTTCCCCGACACGGGCTCGCTTAACCTCGGTCAAGAGCAGAACCCCAACGTTCAGGACATTCTGGGAGAGCTCCGAGAGAAGGTGGGCGAGTGCGAGGCGTCGGCCATGCTGCCCCTTGAGTGCCGGTACCTGAACAAGAGCGCCCTGACCTCGCTCGCCGGCCCGCTCACGCCCCCCGCGAAGCGCTTCCCGCTGAAGAGGAAGCCCAAGAGCGCCGCGCTGCGCGCCGAGCTCCTGCAGAATCCTCCGAGGCCGCCCAGCAGCTGAAGAGGAGCGCGGGAGTGCCCTTCCACGCCAAGGGCCGGGGGCTGCTCCGGAGGATGGACACCACCACCCCGCTCAAAGGCATCCCGAAGCAGGCGCCCTTCCGGAGCCCCACGGCCCCCAGTGTCTTCAGCCCTGCCGGGAACCGGGCCCCCCTGCCCCCCGCGAGGACGCCTCTGCGCAAGGAGAGGGGCGTGAAGCTGCTGCACCTTTCCGAGCTGGATACGGTCGGTGCCGGCCGAGAGGCAAAGAGAAGAAGGAAGACGCTGGACACGGAAGTGGTGGAAAAGCCGGCCAGGGAGGAGACTGTGATGGAGAACGCCACCCCCGACTACGCAGCCGGCCTGGTGTCCGCACAGAAACTCGGGGCTCTGAGCAGCGAGCCTTCGCTGCCCTCCACTAGCTACCTGCCTGCCACCCCCAGCGTGGTCCCGGCCTCATCCTACATCCCCAGCTCTGAGACTTCGCCAGCCCCACCCTCCCGGGAAGCCAGCCGGCCCCCCGAGGAGCCCAGCACCCCGAGCCCCGCCCTGCCGGCACAGTTCAAGCAGAGGGCACCCATGTACAACAGCGGCCTGAGCCCAGCCGCGCCCACACCCACACCTGCAGCGCCCACCTCACCCCTGCCGCCCACCACACCCCCGGCTGTCACCCCCGCTGCCCAGGCACCTCCGGTGGCCATGGTGGCCCCACAGACTCAGCCCCCTGCCCAGCAGCAGCCCAAGAAGAATCTGTCCCTCACGAGAGAGCAGATGTTTGCTGCGCAGGAGATGTTCAAGATGGCCAACAAGGTCACGCGGCCCGAGAAGGCCCTCATCCTGGGCTTCATGGCCGGCTCCCGAGAGAACCCGTGCCAGGAGCAGGAGGACGTGATCCAGATCAAGCTCAGCGAGCTCACGGAGGACCTGCCCAAGTCGGACGGCCAGGGCAGCACCACCATGCTGGTGGACACCGTGTTCGAGATGAACTACGCCACGGGCCAGTGGACGCGCTTCAAGAAGTACAAGCCCATGGCCAACGTGTCCTAGGGTCGCCCGCCACCCGCCTCCGCCGGCGACTCAGGCTCCGGCTTCTGAGCGGCAGGCCTCCGGAGCCCCGCCCCAAGCTGTGGCCTTGTTCTCGGGTGTTTTGGACTTATTTTTTAAGTTTTAGGATGGGTTCCTTTTTGTGTGATCTAAGTCACTTTTTTGGATTAAATATTACATTTTTGAATGTTAAGGTTAACCAAAAAAATTTTAACTTCCTAATTTTAGTGACAGCTCTGCCTGTTATAGACTTTTTTATTTTTCTTAAATTCCATTGCCCTCGAGGTTGAGGGGACCAAAGGGGGGCCAAGCGGGCTGAGAAGAGGTGGGGACAGACAGTCCCGCCCATGTTTTCTACTTGTCTTTTGTACATTGTGAGCATTGAGACCAGTCTCCGCACCTGTGTTCTTGTACAAACTACCTGAGCAATTAAAGTTTAGCTTTTCTACAGGAAAAAAAAAAAAAGAAAAAAAAGAAAGTGTCCATGTATGTAACATACTCCAACATGCATGTTATTAACTTGGATAAGTCACTTAGCTTCCTAGTGAGCTCCTCTATGTGAAATTGTGATAAGAAGATTTACTAGTATGAAATAAGATTTTTTGAGTGATGTTCGTTCAATATGTTTATTAGGCAATGCAATGAATAAGATAAGCATTATTCTAGCCTCTGTGGAGCTTACAGTCTAATAACAAACTTTGAGTAATGTAATAAATGTTATAAAGGCAGGGACAATGGGAGTGAACAGAAGCTTAATATAGTCTAGTCTGAGGAAGTGGCATTTGGATTTGCATGAGTTAAAGGTTATTAGGGGGAAAGGATTGACAAACAGGGTAAGAATTGGTTACACAGTGTAAGTCACCCATTCGTTAATGCATTTATTCAACAAATAACCAGCAAGATGGACAAATCTGTGCCTTCATGGAGTATACAGTGGGCACTTAGAGTTAAGGCTCTTCCATAATCCTCATGTTTCCATGTCCATTACCTCAGCTCTCTTCAAGTCCTATCCATTCCAACAGTTCTCCCCACTTAGCCCATCTGCTACACAGCTATGAAAGTTATCATCCAAAAACACATTTTAATGCTCTACAGGACTGTGTCTGTTCTTAGAGCATTTATTGGAAGAAATTTCACCCAACTGTTTCACAGAATCCTAAAAATGAGGCCTGTTTCTTTGTGGGTTGGTTACTGTTGGCCACACTACACCCTATATTTAGAATCCTCCACCATGAGGCTAGAAGTTTTCGGAGCTTTTTGGTTTGATCTTATAACAGTAAACTGAAATCTGATGTGTTAGCTCAGTCAGGGATGAAAATACATGTCCGACTTGAAATGTCTGGACCAAAGATTTGATCATTGTTTATGGGGTCAATAGGTTTCCATATGGGGTGAAAAATGATGCAACAGATAAGCCAGGATTAGGCTGAATCAGCAGGGCACACAATGAAATAGAGGCAATTGCCCGAAACCAGTTTGGCTCAGTGGATAGAGAGTCAGCCTGCAAACTAAAAGGTCCCAACTTCGATTCCAGACAAGGGTATGTATGCTGGTTGCGGGCATATCCCAAGTAGAGGGTGTGCAAGAGGCAGCTGATGTTTCTAACTCTCTATCCCTCTCTCTTCCTCTCTGTAAAAAATCAATAAAATATATTTATGAAAGAAAGAAAGAAAGAAAGAAAGAAAGAAAGAAAGAAAGAAAGAAAGAAAGAAAGAAAGAAAGGTAATTAGCTCTACAGCAACTTTAGCTTACTAAAGCAGAGTGCCAGATTAATTCCTTCAATCCCTAGGCCAGATTCAGTCTGGATCAGAGCAGTTTTACAGCCTAGAGAATATTACTTAATGCAGAAATTTTTGTGTTATTAATCCTTACCTAATGATATCTTTTTCATTGATTTTTAGAGAGAGTGGAAGGGTGGGAAGGAGAGGGAGAGAAGAAAGAAACATTGATGTGAGAGAGACACGTTGATTGGTTACCTCCTGAACATGCTCTAAACATGGCCAGCATCAAGCCTGTAATCCAGGAATTGAACCCATGACCCTTTTATCCACTGAGAAACACTGGCCAGGGCTAGAATTTTATTCTTTATTTCCGATATTCAGTTGCTATTGTGATGTATTGAAAGTGGATTTTTAAAGCAAGTTGCTTTAAAAGTAGTTTTCAGTGGATTTGCCAGAAATGAATTGCCTTGTATATTATTTTGTTTCTCATTTGCTTTCCACCAAATCACTTATGCAAAAATTTTCCATGCAACTGAAGGTGTGTTTGTGTGTGTGTGTGTGTGTGTGTGTGTGTGTGTGTGTGTGTGTGTGTAAAAGAGATCCCCAGCCCAACCAGTGTGGCTCAGTGATTGAGTGTTGATCTATGGACTAGGAGGTCACAAGTTGACCCCCTGTCAGGGCACATGCCCAGGTTTTGAGCTCAATCCCTAGTAGGGGGCATGTAGGAGGCAGCCAATCAATGATTTCTTTTTATAATTAATGTTTCTGCCTCTCCCTCTCCCTTCCTCTATGAAAGCAATAAAAAAATATATATCTTAAAAAAGAGAGAAAGAGCTCCCCAGCATAGCCTTTGATAATTGTATTCACTTAAATAGCTAATTTTTAAGAAGGTAACCCTTTTCTTTTTGCTTATTATTACTACTAGAGGCCCAATGCACAAAATTCGTACATAGGGGATGGCAGGGGGGCCTCAGCCCAGAGTGTACCATCTCCAATCTGGGACATCCCTCTCACAATCCAGGACTGCTGGCTGACTCCTAATTGTTCACCTACCTGCCTGCCTAATGTCCCTAACTGCTCTCCCTGCCAGCCTGATCACCCCTAACCACATCTGCCTCAGCCCCTGCCACCATGGTTTTGTCTGGAAGAACGTTCAGAAGACATTTGGTCTATCTGGTCTAATTAGCATATTACCCTTTTATTAGTATAGATGTACCTTGCCCCCAAACAAATTATTTTAGGGCAAGGTACATAGAAGCTTAAAAAAAATAGGATTCTTCAAATCACCAAGTTTTTCATGCAATTTGACCTGTGATATATCATCATTTAGGAAAAAAAGTTTGTGGTGTGTTTTTTTCCTATATCTGTTAGGATTCTGTTGGTTGCAAACAACAGAGATACAAATCAAACTGGTTTAAACAAATAAAGATTTATTTGCTCACATAACTGAAATTACTTTAACCAAGCTTCAGATTTCTGTTGCTTACTCCTTTCTGAAGAGTCCAAGTAATAAGAATAAGGTTTCCAAACACTTCTGGGGCTGTCAACTTCCAATTCAGAAGAAAATAGCAATACTTTTCTTACAGCATTCTTAGCATATTTTCTGTGGTTGATTCTGATTGAATCTACTTGGGTCACATGATCATCCTTGAATCAATCTATGATCAAAGAAATGAAATGTGGTGAATGGCTCAGGGCAGTCATATGGTCCACTCCTGTGGTTGGGTACAGAGCCCTATGCAGACCACCTGAGCAGAAAGTGAGATGAGAGTAAACCGGCCAAGGCTCTTGAATCAGTGGGGGCACACAATGAAATAGAGGCAATGAGCTCTACAGCAGCTTTAGCTTGCTAAAGCAATGTGAGTGGCCAGATTAATTCCTTCAATCTGGAACAATGGATGCCTAGAAAGAAGATTTAAAAGGAATATTCCAAAATGAGATGGTTGTGTTGGGTGGTTTGAGGTAGAGTGATTTTTTAAAAAATATTTTTTCAAAGTTTTATAATGTGATTATACTACTTTATTCTGATATCTATCTAATAAAGAGAGAAAATGCTAATTGATCCCACACCATCACAAAAATGGTGGTGCCCACAGCCAATACAGAGGGAATATGCTAATTGACTGTCACACCCTCAAAGATGGAGGCACCAATAGCCATAAGATGGTGGCACCCAGTCCCCTCAGCCTCGCCTGTGTGCAGGCACACAGCAAGGCTGGGCCCGCCCCCAGGCAGGCCCAACCACTCCATGCACCTGCCTCCATGTCCCCCAGTCGCCTCAGCCCCCCAGCCACCCAGGGCTGGCCCAAGGTGCAGGCAAGCCTCAGATGGCAGGTGCCCAGCCACCCAGGGCCTCCCAAGGCTCAGGTAACTGGGGCCGGCCGAGGCTTGCCCTGCTGGCAATGGCAGCAGCAGAGGTGTGATGGGGCATTGCCTTCCCCTGATCTCCAGGTCACCTCCTGTCCCTGAGGGCTCCCAGACTGTGAGAGGGGAAAGGCCAGGCTGAGGGACCTTCCCTCCAGTGAATGAATTTTCATGCATCTGGCCTCTAGTCCTACCTAAAAGAAGAGTAATATGCAAATTAACCATCACTCTACTCCACAAGCCATGCCCACAAGCCACACCCATCAACCAATCAGAGCAAGTATGCAAATAAACCCAACCAAGATGGCTACAGCCACAGAGAGCAGGAGGGAGCCAAGCTTTCCATCTGCCCTTGCTGGCCTAACCCTCCACTCAAGGCTACAAACTTTCAATTATAGAAGGTAAACAAATCCAAACAGAAATGGCTGCTGCCATGAAGTGAGCAGGAGGCTTGGCTCCACTCCAGGATACAAAGTTTCAATTGTATAAAATAAATATAGCCCAGATACCAGGGCCTCCACTTGGGTTGCTGAGGGGCATGGCCAGTCTGCAAACCACCACAGGCCCCTCTCTTAGGCCACCCCACACTTCAAGGGAACCCCTACCCTGATCCAGGACACCCTTCAGGGCAAACCAGCTGGCCCCCACCCATGCACCAGGCCTCTACCTTATCTAACAAAAGAGTAATAAGCAGATTGACCATCACTCCAACACACAATATGGCTGCCCCCATGTGGTCAAAGATCCTGCCTCCATGTGTACACAAGATGACCAATAGGGGAGGGCAGTTAGGAGGGGCCAAGCCTGCAAGGGAGGGCAGTTGTGGATGATCAGGAAAGTAGGGGAGGACAGTTGAGAGGCATCAGGCCTGCAAGAGAGGGCAGTTGAGGGACCAGGCCTGCAAGAGAGGGCAGTTGG